AAAAGAATAACTGTATGCCTTATTACGTTGTTTAACCTTTTAATTCAACTACTATTAGTGATATAATTAAAAGGAAAAACAAGGTAATAAGGTGATTCAGTACTTTCTAAAGTGATTTACTACTTGCATGAAAGTCGCAATAATCGATTTCGCCATTTATCTCACTCCTCGCTCTTCACTTTTCGTGAAGAGCCGATCAGAAAATCGTTTACTTACACATACAGAATATTATCATAATATCTTATCATTCCATAATTTCATAAAACATTTTTTTAGCCAAAATGAATGGAAGGCACCCTGGTTCGGAAAAATCGCAGTAATTTAAGGGAGCTTCGATGAATAGCACAACAATCGTAAAAAGAAAAACTCGGATGAGAACTTCAGAGAAGCTCGGAGGAGAACGCCAGAGAAGATCGGAGGAAAGCTTCAGAGAAGATGGGAGGAGAGCTACAGGGAAGTTGAGAGGAGAACTTCAGAGAAGTTGGGAGGAAAACTTCAGGGAAGCTCAGAGGAGAACTTCGGAGATGCTCGGAGGAGAGCTTCAGAGAAGTTCAGAGGAAAAATGCAGAGATCTCGGAGGAGAACTTCTGATAATCTGGCTCACCTACTTCTGAGAATTTCAGAGGAGAACTTCAGAGAAGCTCGGACGAGAACTTTTGAGAAGTTCAGATGATAATTTCATAGAGAACTTCCTAGAAGTTTGGAGGAAAACTCCAGAGAAGGACATAGAAAAACTTCACTGAGAACTTTAGAGAAGCTCAGAGGAGAACGTTAGAGAAGCTATGAGGAAAACTTCAGAGAAGTTCAGAGGAAAACTTCACAGAGACCTTTAGAGAAGTTCGGAGGAGAACTTTAGAGAAGTTCGGAGGAGAGCCTCAGAGAAGCTGAAAAGAAAACTTCAGAGAAGCTCGGAGTAAAACTTCGGATAAGCTCAGAGGAGTGCTTCAAAGAAGGACAGAAAAAAACTTCACAGAGAACTTTAGAAAAGATGGGAAGAGAACTTCAGAGAAGCTCAGAGGAAAACTTCACAGAGAACATTAGAGAAGGTCAGAGGAGAACTTCAGATAAGCTGAGAGGAAAACTTCAGAGAAGTTGGGAGGAGAACTACAGAGAAGCTCAGAGGAGCACTTCAGAGAAGTTCGGTTTAGTTAACTTGAAGAAAATTGCAGAAACTTTAAAAATGTTCTGACAGGCTCAGGACAATTTTGGTAACTTCAGGGCAGTTACGAGAACTTTGGGAAAATCGCGATAATTTAAGGGAGGTTCCATTAGAAGAACTTTAGAGAAGGTCAGAGGAGAACTTCTGAGAGGTTCAGAGGAGAACTTCAGAGAAGCTTAAAGGAAAGCTTCAGAGAAGTTCAGAGAAAAACTTCATAGAGAACTTTAGAGAAGCTCAGAGGAGAACTTTAGAGAAGTTCGGAGGAGAGCCTCAGAGAAGCAGAAAAAAAAAATTTCAGAGAAGCTCAGAGGAGTGCTTCAAAGAAGGACAGAAAAAAAACTTCACAGAGAACTTTAGAAAAGATGGGAAGAGAACTTCAGAGAAGCTCAGAGGAAAACTTCACAGAGAACTTTAGAGAAGCTTAGAGGAGAACTTCAGATAAGCTGAGAGGAAAAATTCAGAGAAGTTCAGAGGAGAGCTACAGAGAAGCTCAGGGGAGCACTTAAGAGAAGTTCGGTTTAGTTAACTTGAAGAAAATTGCAGAAACAAAAATGTTCCGACAAGCTCAGGAAAATTTTGGTAACTTCAAGACAGTTATGAGAACTTTGGAAAAATCGCGATAATTTAAGGGAGGTTCCATTAGAAGAACTTTAGAGAAGCTCAGAGGAGAACTTCTGAGAAGCTCAGAGGAGAACTTCAGAGAAGCTTAAAGGAGAGCTTCAGAGAAGTTCAGAGGAAAACTTCACAGAGAACTTTAGAAAAGCTCAGAGGAGAACTTTACAGAAGTTCGGAGGAGAGCCTCAGAGAAGCAGAAAAGAAAACTTCAAAGAAGCTGAGAGGAGTGCTTCAAAGAAGGACAGAAAAAGACTTCACAGAGAACTTTAGAGAAGATGGGAAGAGAACTTCAGAGAAGCTCAGAGGAAAACTTCACAGAGAACTTTAGAGAATCTCAGAGGAGAGCTTCAGAGAAGCTGAGAGGAAAACTTCAGAAAAGTTGGGAGGAGAACTACAGAGAAGCTCAGAGGAGTACTTCAGAGAATTTCGGATTAGTTAACTTGAAGAAAATTGCAGAAACTTTTAAAATGTTCTGACAGGCTCAGGATAATTTTGGTAACTTCAGGGCAGATACGAGAACTTTGGGAAAATCACGATAATTTAAGGGAGGTTCCTTTAGAAGAACTTTGGAGAAGCTCAGAGGAGAACTTCAGAGAAGCTGGGAGGAGAGCTACACAGAAGTTGAGAGGAGAACTTCAGAGAAGTTGGGAGGAAAACTTCAGGGAAGTTCAGAGAAAAACTTCAGAGATCTCGAAGGAGAACTTCTGAGAAACTGGCACGCCTACTCTTGAGAATTTCGGAGGAGAACTTCCTAGAAGTTTGGAAGAGAACTTCAGAGAAGCTCGGAGAAGAACTTTTGAGAATTTCAGAGGAGAATTTCACAGAGAACTTTCGAGAAGGTGGGAGGAGAACTTCAGAGAAGCTCAGAGGAGAGCTTCAGGGAAGTTCAGAGGAAAATTTCACAGAGAACTTTCGAGAAGGTGGGAGCAGAACTTCAGAGAAGCTCAGAGGAAAACTTCAGAGAAGTTCAGAGGAGAACTACAGAGAAGCTCAGAGGAGCACTTCAAAGAAGTTCGGTTTAGTTAACTTGAAGAAAATTGCAGAAACTTTAAAAATGTTCTGACAAGTTCAGAGGAGAACTTCAGAGAAGCTCAGAGGAGAGCTTCGCAGAAGTTCAGAGGAAAACTCAACAGAGAACTTTAGAGAAGCTCGGAGGAGAGCTTTGGATAAGCTGGGAGGAAAACTGCAGAGAAGCTCGGCGGAGAAATTCAGAGAAGCTCAGAGGAGAGCTTCAGGGAAGTTCATAGGAAAATTTCACAGAGAACTTTCGAGAAGGTGGGAGCAGAACTTCAGAGAAGCTCAGAGGAGAGCTTCAGAGAAGTACACAGGAAAACTTCACTGAGAGCTTTAGAGAAGCACAGAGGAGAGCTTCAGAGAAGCTGAGAGGAAAACTTCAGAGAAGTTGGTAGGAGAACTACAGAGAAGCTCAGAGGAGCACTTCAGAGAAGTTCGGTTTAGTTAACTTGAAGAAAATGGCAAAAACTTTAAAAACGTTTCGACAAGCTCAGGAAAATTTTGGTAACTTCAGGGCAGTTACGAGAACTTTGAGAAAATCGTAGTAATTTAATGGTATGAATAGCACAAAAATCGTAAAAAGAAAAACTCAGATGAGAACTTCAGAGATGCTCGGAGGAGATGCTTAGAGGAGAACTTCAAAGAAGTTCATAGGAAAACTTCACAGAGATTTTTTTAGAGAAGCTCAGATGAGAACTTCTGAGAAGTTTGGAGAATTTCTGATAAGCTGGGAGGAGAGCTTCAGAGAAGTTCAGAGTAAAACTTCAAAGCTCGTAGGAGAACTTCAGAGAAGTTCGGAGGAGCACTTCAGAGAAGTCCGGAGGAGAACTTCGTAGAACTTTGGAGGAGAACTTCAGAAAAGTTTGGAGGAGAGCTTCAGAGAAGCTGGGACGAGAACTTCAGGAACAAGTTCGGATTTGACCAACATGGTTCTGAGCTAGGTCTGGCGAAGTCACTCCAGACTACTCATTCATCGTAGTAGGCTGGGGTGCACTGGTGTACAGGACAATTTTTTGAAACATGGTGAATAGATATATATTTTTAAATTGTGGCTGGTGGTTGAACAAATGTTTATTGGAAGAGTCTGTATGAAGTTAGATTTATTTGAGTAAAACGCTCGATATTCAACTTTTTTACCTAGTGGACAAATTTTAGTAAAATTAGTGGCATATGAATGATCTTTATTACGACTAAAAATCAGCAAAATTTCGAGAAGCTATCTTCATTTTATTTGAAGAAAATAAGGTTTTTTCAAGAAACAGGCGTTTTTCTTAAATTGTTCCAACTTTTTGTAAACTCAACCAAATATGCTCAATACTGAACCAATAATTGATAGATGTATGCTGAGTTAGCTGCCAAAGACGTATCTATTTAACTTGTGCTTTTAGAGCCGTTTTTCTTAAATTTAAGTTCACCTGTACGATCAATTTTCAGATACACTGTATGATCTCCAAGCAATAAATATCTGGTTCGATTCATTAGTTCGAAAACTATTACGTCTTCGCCACACCTAGGTCCTGAGTACGTAATATGGCCATAATGAACTTATTTTTGTCCGTATCTGGCCAACGTGGTTCTGATTACTTAAAGGTTGAACACGAAAAAATCTGGACACAAATCAGTCAGGCAGCTTAAAATAATTTGTTGGTAAACAAACTTACACCAGATGTCTACACCCTGAATAATTTCGGAGTAGGTCGGTGCGGTTCTGGTGTGTATGTTCTATACGAAAACGACATCAGTATGACCAAGCTACAAGCGTTTAGTTTGACAATCATAAACTGTCAGGGTGACTGTTTCCATTGACAGATCAATTCCTATGTTTGTTTACATAATTCAATGATCACTGAAGCTAAAAAGTCCAATTATCCTAGTCCCGTCGGATCAAACTCTTCTCCGGTTCAGATTGGCAACACTGCTATTAGTTTTTCTATTGCTTTGACGTTTCAGGCATACTGAAACTCCACTCTACTCTTCTTCGGTTTATATTTTTCATCCACCATTTCCTTTCGATCAAACCTTCCTCACATCTCTTCTGTCACCTCGGGTCGGTACATTTCCTGGTGCTCATGCATGCTTTTTTTTCTCGGTTTAAGATTATATGTTGCTTCTATAGGTTTAGTGCTTAGTTGGCATACAATTCTAATCGAAACCTTTTCTCCGCATTCCCATTGCGCTTTTGCCTCTTGGCCTCCAATTCCCCTTTAAACAGATGCTGAAGATGAAGAAACACGAGGAACTGGAAACGCCAACCTTCACCACATCGATTCCGATCGACCTCAATGACCACTAGAGTTCCGGTGCGGAACCATTTATGAAATCAAACAGTAATATTATAAATAATCAACAACAGTAACAGTAACAGCAGCAGCAGCAGCCGGAATGATAAAATAATTGCAATACATACCTACGCATTACACAATTTTGATAACGATTTACATGAGCCCATTTTTTTCTAGTAAGAAGAGTAAAACACACACATACACACACACAATCTTACGAAAATCAACGGTCGGCAGCAGTGCTGCCAACCGAACTCGCCTGACGCCTTACTATAATTATTATGATGATCCTATAATATAACAGTAATTCTATTGGTTAATTTTTTTGTTTTGTTTCGCGATGGCCATCATCAGTACCGAATCGGTTGAGAATTCCAACACACACACACAAAGAAAGAAAAAGAAAAAAGAAAACAGAAAAGCGGATTCGGGTGGGAAGTAGTGGTGTTAGTGAAATACTTATGGGAAGAAAATAGTAGTGGTAACACCGGAAGAAGAAAAACAAATGTAAAGTTTAATTCTAAGTAGAGCTTAATGGAGATAAATTCGTTGTTTATTGTATCTTTTTGTAATTTTCCTTTTTTTTTAGAAAAAAAAAGAAGTCTAAAGTAGTTACGGTTGATTTATCGAGAGAAAAGACACAAATGGCTTAACCACAACAATGTGCGATACGAGAGAGGGCGAGAGATAACGAGAGAGAGAGAGAAGAAAAAGTGCATCAATGTTTTATACTTGTTTTAAATCGCTTTTGATGTTTAGTAGCAATGTAGTTTAAAGAACCTTTAAAAGAATGCCTTACTATTGTCTTAAAAAAAACTGTTCTGAAAATTGGTACAAATTTCGGTTTTGTTTTCGCCTCTTCCTTACGCTACCATCACACCTTTTGTTCGTTCCTAAATTTATGCTATCAAGCAATTTTCAGTAGAAACAAAATCAACGAATCTTTACACACATACACACTGACTGATCGAAACCAGCACTGCAGCGCGGAAATCACAGTCCATGTATGATTTTAACTTTAACTAATTATTCAAAAAAAAAAGAAGTTAGTTGCTATAAGCAGGATTCAATCAAAACAAAGCAGTTGAGTTGTAAATAAATGAAAATGGTATCTAATCGCAAACAACGTATCAAGAAGGCACCATCTCGCCATCTATCGCTCAAAGGTAAAAGTTCCGAACGAATTCGGTCTGCCTTTGTCCCTAGGCAGAGTTGCCAGTCTTCTCGGTATGTTGTCTTCGATCTTTCTTTTTTCCCCCGAAGAATTAGACGCGGGCAAAGAGAACCGACCCGCAAAGTATAGTTTTAAACAAACAAAATATGCCTACGAATCAAGCTTCGATTCTTTTCTTATTTGTAATTGGACCCATTTCGGACCCGTTTTTATCTGTGCGAGTATATAAACACTTGAAAGGGAAGTTATAACTTTTTTGTTGTAAATTATTTACTACAACTTGTTTTATATTAGCATAATATGAAATAGGCAAAGCGCAGTGTAATAAAGGTAAATCTTTTTTCGACACGATTTCGGCGTTAGGTTGCTGGGCAACTGCTTTGTAGTTTGATAATTTCACAGCCCTTGAAGCCGGAACTACAGAACTTGAACTGTCCCTTGCTCATTTTCCTTGAAAGTTCTTTCGCCAAAAGGACATTGAACCATGGAAGTTTGTTTATTCGGGGAAGTTCTGGGTGAGGTTAGTCTAAAATAATCCCTTTTCAGTCATTCGAACAAGTCCTACACGTTGATAACATCGGGTAAGCCGAAGTAAATTAGCATTAAGCAAATTTAGCTACGAATCAATGATCTATCGGCTCCGTAAAGCTAACGCGATTGAGCCTTTCAAATAAATGAGCTAGATTTAAAAACAGTCATACACGTCCTCCGAATAAGCTCACATAGTCTTGTGAACTGTCCCTGTTTCCTGCAAGACCAGTACTTGATGTGGAAACTTTCTAACCTGCTCCGTAGAAGTTCTTGGAACACGTCTTAGAAGTTTTTTGGATCTACTTTAGAAGTCCACTGAGCTTGTCCAAGAAGTTTGATCACCATGCCCTTTTATGGAAATTCACTGAACGATTACGTCGTCCTTGGAAAGTTTTGGGAATCACACTTTAAGGTGAAAGTGACCTAGTGTGTAAATCAAAACTTCAAAAATGCTAATCTCTGATACCTCAGTCGACGAGTACTGTTTGCAATCTGAAGTAATGTCTCAGAGAATACCATTTTTAAAATTTTCATTTACTCACTAGGTCACTTCCACCTTAATATCTTATTAAATAGCCTTAATTTTGCCAGGTAATCCTAAATAAAATGCTGGTACGATCAGTGAACTTTCTAGATATTACTGAACTGCTCTTGGATGTCCTCTGAGCTCGCCCAAGTAATCCCCCAAATATAATCCAACATCATCTGGACTTGTCCAGCAGGTTGGACATTGCCCGGAAAATCTGAATTCCCACTTAATGTTTACCCTTGGAAATCCTCCGGATTCGCTCCAAAATTTGTCTCCGAAAATTCTCTTGCCCTAAAAACAAGAAGTCGTCCGAGGTTATCCTGGTAGTCCTCCTGAATTATCCTGAAATTTATTTAAAATATTCCGAAAAATCCTCTTAATTTACCTTAAAAAATACTGCCCAGAAAGTTCCCTTGAGTTGTCCTGGAAGTATTGAACTCTTCTGTTCGTCATGGGAGTCCTCTATACTTATTCTGGAAGTCTTTCGAACTTATCTTAGTTGTCTGGAATTGTCCATTGAAAACAGCAAAGACCACCCTGTTTGTTTTATTTTCTTGAAAATAAGTCCTTTTTGTTCTGGAAGTACCCAGATTATTTCTGGAGGTCATCCACTGATGGCACCCAGGATACTTAAGCAAGTAAGTAATCCGGTTTTTTTTCTGGAAGTGCCCCGCGGATACAACATTTATTCATTATAAGTTAGATATAACACAGTAAAAGTCCTCAAATTTTGTTGCCGAAATATTTCGGACTTGTTTACGAAGTCTTCTTGGACTTTCTTCCAAGAGATTCTCCAGACTTATCTTGGTAGTCTTTCGAACTTTTCGTAAATATTGTTCGAATAGTTCCTGAAAGCTAACTGGAATTGTCTTGGAACTTGTCCGGAATTGTCCAACAAGTCCTTTAGGAATTGGATGTCAATCCTTCTAGGTTCTCTGGGCTTGTTGATGAACTTTTTCTAAGTCTTCAGAAATATCTTGGAAGTCCTGCTGACTTCCTCCGATATTTTATCAGATCATATCCTGCATGTCCCTTCTGCACTCGTCCTTTCTGCTTCTGCTCTCAAGAGTAGTCCACAAAACCCTCCGGATTTGTTCTGGAAGTCCCCTGGGCTTGCGCGGGAGTTTCTTATGAACATGTACTGAAAGTTCTTCGAAATCTTGACGGGTTTAAGTTCTTCGTATTTGTAATGGTAGTCCTTCGCTCTTTCTCTGAATCTTCTGTGATCATTTACTGAAAATATTCCAGGTTTGCCTCTAAATTTGATCAACGGGCTTGATCATATCCTTGAAGTCTCCTTATCTTTCCATGGATATGTTCAGGACTTGCTTCCAAAAACCATTTATTCTCTGGACATATCCCGGATATCTTGAGAACTTGATTTTAAAATTATCTGGATGTGTCCTGGATGTTCTTCGGTACTTCCTCTTTTCCTTAAAAGCAATCCGGATTTATCCTAAAAGTTCGTCGAATTTGTCCTGGAAGTCATCTGGGCTCATTCTCCAAACATTCTGGACTTGCTCTAGAGAACCACTGAGGCTACTCTGAAATATCTCTTGACATATTCAGCAAGTCCTCTGGATTTGGATATGTCCTAAAATTCCTTCGGATTTGTCTTCAGGCCCCTCCCAATCCCTTGTCCTGGATGCTCTTCGAACTTTCCCTAGAACTTCACCAGATTTGTTCTACAATTTTTCGAACTTCCTGGAAATATTCTAGATTTGTTCTGGAAAATAACTAGAATATGCCAGGAAGTCCAGGCTTGATCATATCCTTGAAGTCTCGTTATCTTTTCATGGATATGTTCAGGACTTGCTTCCGAAAACCATTTATTCTGTCCCGGATGTTCTCTGGACATATTCCGGATATCTTGAGAACTTGATTTTAAAATTATCTGGATGTGTCCTGAATGTTCTTCGGTACTTCCTCTTTTCCTAAAAGCAATCCGGATTTATCCTGAAAGTTCGTCGAATTTGTCCTGGAGGTCATCTAGGCTCATTCTCCAAACATTCTGGACTTGCTCTAGAGAACCACTGAGGCTACTCTGAAATATCTCTTGACATATTCAGCAAGTCTTCTGGATTTGTTTTTGAAAGTCATTTGGATATGTCCTAAAATTCCTTCGGATTTGTCCTCAAGCCCCTCTCATCCCTTACCCTGGATGCTCTTCGAACTTTCCCTAGAAGTTCACCAGATTTGTTCTTCAATTTTTCGAACTTCCTTAAAATATTCTAGATTTGTTCTGGAAAATAACTAGAATATGCCAGGAGGTTCTCTGGACCAGTCCTGGAAGACCTGCTGATTTTTTTCTGACGTCCTCCAGATTTATCCTGGAAGTCATCCGCACTTGTCCTTTGTATTATTGCTGAATATCCCTTGAAATTACCCAACTATAAATGGAGGACTGAACTGCCTGAAAGTCCTTCTTATTTATGCTGGAAGTCATCCAAACTTGTCCTGATAGTCCTAAATATTCCGAGGACTGAACTCGTCCTTGAAGTTTTCTGGTATTTTCATAGCAGTCTTCAGGACGTGTTCTGGAAAACCATTAGGCCCATCCAGGAAGTTCTCTGAACTCCGGAAGACCTTCGGAGTTATGGTAGTCCTTCGGTCTTACTCTGAAACTTCTGTGATCATTTACTGAAAATATTCCAGGTTTGACTTAGAGGTCCTCTAAATCAACGGGCTTGATCATATTCTTGAAGTCTCCTTATCTTTTCATGGATATGTTCTGGACTTGCTTTCGAAAACCATTTATTCTGTTCCGGATGTTCTCTGGACATATCCTGGATGTCTTGAGAACTTGATTTTAAAATTATCTGGATGTGCCCTGGATGTTCTTCGGTACTTCCTCTTTTACTAAAAGCAATCCGGATTTATCCTGAAAGTTCGTCGAATTTGTCCTGGAAGTCATCTGGACTTATTCTCCTAATATTCTGGATTTGCTCTAGAGAACCACTGAGGCTACTCTGAAATATCTCTTGACTTATTCAGCAAGTCATCTGGATTTGTTTTTGAAAGTCATTAAGTAGGCCCCTCCCACCCCTTATCCTGGATGCTTTTCGAACTTTCCCTAGAAGTTGACCAGATAAGTTCTACAATTTTTCGAACTTCCTGAAAATATTCTAGATTTGTTCTGGAAAAAAACTAGAATATGCCAGGAGGTTCTCTGAACCCGTCCTGGAAGACATGCTGACTTTTTCTGACCGTCCTCCAGATTTATCCTGGAAGTCATCCGCACTTGTCCTTTGGATTATTGCTGAATATCCCTTGAAATTACCCAACTATAAATGGAGGACTGAACTGCCTGAAAGTGCTTCACATTTATCCTGGAAGTCATCCAAACTTGTTCTGATAGTCATTTGGATTAGTCCTGAATATTCCGAGGGCTGAACTCGTCCTTGAGGTTTTCTGGTCTTTTCATAGCAGTCTTCAGGGCGTATTCTGAACAACCATTAAGCCCATC